AAAAGGTAGAGGGGCAAAGAAAAGGAAAGCATCCAGTTCAGAAAATGAAGGTGAATACAACCCTGGGAAGAAAACATCTAAATCAACACCAAGCAAGGTCAGTTCCATCTATACTCTTTTCTCCTTTTAAAAAGAATCTAATGGATTACTGTATGTAAAAGGTACATGTTCTTATTATAGGTTGCTAATCTGATATATAGGTGTGTTGAGAAATTGAATGTCAGAGGTTTAAAAAAGGTAAATGTACACAGCATCACAACTGATTTGTCTTTTCTTTTCTAAAGAAATCCAAGAAGGCTGCTTTTGACCAGGATTCTGATGTGGAAATCTTTCAGTCAGGCTTTGCCTCCGAAACTGCCCCAAAGCCTCGGACAGCCCGGGCTAGAAAAGAAGTTAAATATTTTGCAGAGTCTGATGAAGATGATGCTTTTGATATGTTTGATTAAGTGCCCAAAGAGCACACAAATGATTTCCAACAACTATCTTGTGTTGTCCTTTTGTCCCTTCTGTCGCAAACTTTTGTACATTTGACTTATTTTATGTGATAATGTAATTGATGGTTTTTATTATTGTGTGTAGGCATTTTAACATTTTGTTCTTACACCTACAATTTTATGCTCTTTTTTACTCATTGAAATGTCATGTATTTGTCTGACTGGCTTGTAGAGATGTTCTAGACAGCTGTGCTAAAGCACATTTTAATTGTTATGGTTGCAAACAGCAAACCTGCTTTTTGAAATGAAGTTTAAACATTAAAAAATGGAAAACTACCGTGTGTGTGTAAAATGTGGACTGGAGGGACAACTTTTACACAGTTGTTTTTTTTTAAAATAAATATATTTTATTCTTTGCCAGGAGACTCCATGGAAAAAGGTAAACAGTATATGAACATAGAAAGCATTGTTAAACAATCTCAATGTACAAACAGAGCCAGTGAAAGTACATCACAGACTTGCTAGAATATATATAAAAAAAAAATCCACTAGTGCTTTAAATGAAACCTAAGAAACTGACACTTTAAATCTGTTAACCATTCTACCACAGTTTTCACTCTGCTTCATGGTGATTTAACAAGGCCAAGAAGGCAGATTCTCTCCTTGTGTTTCTGGAAGTCTGCACTGTACTTCCCTAGCACCTGGAAGGCTGGATAACCCAGCTGATTCCCGGCAGTCCTAGACTCACCGATCCCAAAGCTGTAAATGAGTCTGCTGGTTATCATCCCATGAAGTTTCCCTAATGGCTTCTGAACAAGTAAACAAAAAACATGGTAACACTGAAAAGTGTTTCTGCCTTGGAGGCTATCATTGCTGTAGGAATGGAGTAGTTAATTGCGGAGCTAGGTCACCAGCCAGGTAAGAAACCGCTTCTTTCCATTTTAAAGTGACATTAACAGTGGAACAAATGACATCTGAATAACTGATCTGGCAGTTAATGCTGACACTGATGCCTTTCCTGCTAGTGCAGTGAGTTTCTGTATGCTTTTTACAAGGAAGGAGATGCAAACTGAGGGCATCAAAGACGAGTTTTCGTATTAAACTAAATCAGTCGGTCCTTTAAACTTCCTTTTCTGGATGTGTACAGTAGTCCATTTCGTATAGTTGGTGTCTTGATTGGTTTAGGTATGAGAGACAAAAGGAAAGCACCAAACATCCAGTATAGAAAGTACAGCCATACATTTGTATGTACAAAGTCATCAGAAATGCAACCAGAATTGAAAGTTTGAGATCTGTATTGTCACCATGCAATCTTGAATGTTCAGAGGAGAAAACAGAAGCTTAACTATTTATTTTTTTGCATGAAATGGCTGATTTAGAGTTTCAAAAGTTTGCATTTTCTAGTTTTAAGAGTTTAAACAGCAAGGAGTATATATCGATACATATGAAAATTTCTTGGTCCTTGTTGAGTTTTTATCTATATATATATATATATACACATATATAGATATATATTAAGTCCAGAAACTAAGCAGCAGTAAAAATGTTTTTCTTGCTTTTCATCCCTGTACATAAGGTATTAGGAATGTCTGAAGTAGCTGGAAACTGTCTTATTGCACCATAGGGGATTGACTGACACTGCTGTTATCCACTGAGCTGGGTGAGATACTGGGACTGTGTTCTGCAGTATTTCCATTTGAGGTTGGTGTCAGTGGTTCATGTCCTTCAGAGTTCTCCAACATTTCCTGAATAAGAGGTGGCATGGATCCAGGAATTTCCATTTTCAATGTAATGACACGTTCTGCACCTTTAAAAAGAAAACAAAAAGTCCTTTCCTTTATCATGATTCATACAATTTCCTTTTGGTTAGAATAATAAGTAGTAATTTCAGGGTGTGTTATTTTAAGGGATTTGGTGTCTCCTGTATTTCTTGCATACAAAATTATGTAAGTGAACTACTTCATTCATTACAAGAAAAAGGAGTTTAAATAAGTACTCCTTAACAAATAAATCTAAAATTGTGACAGCAACTGATACTACAATACAGGTAAATTGAATGAACCCTTCCTTTTCATAGAAAGAACCAAAATAGCTTTAAATGGTACTGAAAAAATAAATTCAGCTCTAATCATGTAAATATCTTCATAAATTGGAATATACTTTACAGTTGGATCTGCAAAGAATACAGATTGACAAAAATTGGGGCTGATTACTGCTAAATAGGTGAGGTAAACCCTGCAAGAGAACTGTAGTGATCGAAGTAAGTCAGAATATTTCTTTCCCATAGAAAACTCTGAAATAAGAATCAGAATTTAACAGACCATTGTTTTAGAAAAGAACAAATTCAGGCAAATTAATACTTTTTTTTTTTTGTGAAGCTGCCTTCTGTAGTTTTCAAGCATCTTCTCTTGTGCTAATTAACCACAGAAGTACACAGACCCACTACCACTTTACATCTGACATCACTGCAGCTGACTGTTCAGTGTTTCACTTTGTCAAGCGTAACAACGGGTATTTTTTTACAGAGATGGCTTCGCAGGCTCGTGTGTGTGGGATTAAACAGAATTACTACATCAATCCTGACTGCTCGGACTGTGAGTGAACAACTACCACTAGTTTAGGGGAAAAATAACAACCCACAAAGCGACACAGCAGTGTCTGTTGTTCCTAAGATGTGTTAAGGCTGCTTGAACATGGCAGGCACCCAGGGAAGACTGAATGGACAGGCAGACACCTCCCAGGTCACTCGTAACTCACACACAACATCAGCTCAGTGCTCCCAGAAGCACTGTGTGGACCATAGAGAGACAGGAGTATTTTGGAATTACATCTCAAATAAAGAAGTGAAGCTATACAGTAAGGATTCTGTTCCACACTGAGGCATTAATATACTTCACATATTTTGCTGCTGATGGGGAAAAAAAGATTTTTCTTATCAGGAGACCATCAGACAATTTACAGCCACAAACCTCAGCAGTCAAATATCTGGTCTAACATGTTTGCATAGGGTTCCTGATCATCCTGAAATGTTAGTCTAATGGAATAGGAATCTGTGCTTTTTAGAAGTGAAGAAAGGCAAGAAGAGCCAACAGAATTAAAGAGAAAACAGTCTGGTTATTGAACACCCATTCCAGAGGAGAGAACCTTTGGATATATTCTGCTTGTCTGTGCTGCCCCAGTGTCCATGCTGGAGAGAGCATGCTGTCCCTCACAGCAGTAACCCTGAGTAGAATGGAGTGCTCATGTTCATGCCTCAACTGAAGCACTTCAAAAAAACATCAAAGGCAGTGACCAGCTTTCCAAGGGAATGCTGATTAAAAAGTCTCTTAAATAACTGTTGGGAACAAAGGGGCAAGCTCCATAACTTGAAAGAAATTGCTGCAGAATGATGCTGAAAGCTGCTCTGAAAACCATCTGTAGTCAGGGCAGTGCTGATGAACTGGGCCACAATAAATACCTGCTTTCTGCTGGCACAGAGCAGGTCAGCTGCAGTAACACGTGTTTATGTGGTTATTCCAGTGTGGAACCACAGTATTTTTTTTCAGGTCTTGCAAACTTCACTACTAGGATAAGAGAATTCAGAAGATGAGCTCTTGCTTCAGTCCCACGAACGCTCACTGCTTTGGTTGCAATACTTCTTGTGCCACAGAAGAACATGGCTGTATGAGGAACTCTAGTGTAAGGAGACATCCTCAGTCTTCTCAGTTGATGCTTACTTTGGTAATTGCTTTCAGGGATCGTGTACCATCAAGAGTCGTTATCTTCTAATGTGCATCTTTTCCAATGAAACTCAAGACGCACCCACCCCTCCAGGACATCACCAGTCCTTTGGTATGATTTACTTCTACTATAAAACATTAATGATATAATTAAAGTTAAATACTTCTGTCAGAATGGAAAGAGAAATCCTTTCTTGCGCATTGAGCGAAAAGAGACAAAAGCCGTGTTCTTGAGGGGCTGGAGGGTTCTGGCAAAGAAGCAGGTAAGTAGAAATAGGTTTCCAACCAGCAAGAAGAGAAGAATAACAGGGCTCCCCTAAATATTCTTACAGTTCAGTACCGCTGTGAATTTATTTTATGGATCAGTTGGATGGAGCTTGCTTTAGTTGAGGGTAAACTGCAAAGCTTTAGACAACCTGGTCAGTGGCTCCTTTTTTTTATGATACTTTTGTTTCCAGCACTGGTGTTTCCCTTCTAAGCTATTCTTTTAGCACTAATTAATCCAGTTCAGTTGCTCACTTCTTTTTATAAATATAGCTGAATTGTCAAAATTCTGGATCAAACCATCTTCAGGTGCTTCAGACCACACTTTAGGGGTATTTGGGATGCTCAAGTGTTTCCTGCTGTCTAAACAGACTTTGTTTCTTTGAAAGCCATCAGCGATACAAAGCACATGTTGACCTGCACCCCCTTGTAAACATTAACAAAGGTTTAATTCAGGGTTATATCTTGTCTCAAAATGACTAACAAAGAGCTTATGCTAATGACTTGCTAACCTACCTATACCTAAGACATCGTTTTCACTGTAAGTTCCATGAAGAATGTAGCACCATGTATATTTAAATCAGACCAATTTAAACCTGCTAGTTACATAAAGAAGGAGGAAAGAGAAAGCTCACAAGGACCTTTCTTAAATATATTTAAAAAATAACAACCCAGGTCTCTAGGCCAGTTTCCTCTGAATTACTGGGAGACGCTGTACCTTTTGCACTGATGCTGCGAAGATCTGTGATTTTCATTAAGATCTTTGGGAACATATGAGGCTTGTTGGGCCGTCTTTTTCGGATATAGATTTTCAGTGCTTCAAGCAATGGTTCCTGAAGCTTATCCACTTTCATTGGTTCTTCAAGGTCCTGGCGATCTGTGGAAAAGTATCATAGCACAAGTACGATTTTAAATATACATATATTTTTTACAAACTCCAAATCACAGAAGCTCCTCCATGTTCCTGATTAGAGCTCCATGAATTTCATCTTTCTCTCCACTTATGACCCACACTCTGTAGTGAGTATTCCACAGGAAGAGGACAAACGGTGGCTTTCTCAAACTTAGCTTCGTTTTTCCTTGGTGACCTGAAAGTTTTGTCAAATATTTGAGTGCTCCACAATCACCAGTTTGGTCTTGTACCTCCCTCTCCAAGGGGAAAACACGTCGCCACAAACAGTATTTCAGGATTAATTTTGCATGTGTCACTGATAAGCTACCTAAGTACACACAGAGATTACAGACAATTTGGGTTTTGTATCAATACTAAAACAAAGTGAGTTACCATCAGGTATCAGCAGATGGCAGTGCTAGCTTGAGTGACAACAAATGTCCCCCATAAACCAGAATGGACCAGTCACACAGTCGGGACGCCTCAGAACCCACCAGTGCTTTGGATGGGTTATGTTTGGAAACACATCAAATCCGAATGCTTCTGTACTGAAGGGGCACTGTCAGCACAGACTGACTCGTGGTTTTTAGAGATGCTCCAGTAGTGCCCAGTTTGTATTTCAACAAAATGGCCCAACTAAACCAGGTGCGTTTCTATTGCTAGTGCAGGTTTTACAAAGGAGGAGAGAGACAAGGGGATTAAAATAACACAAATTTACAGAGGATTTTGGAAATTATCTGAGACTTCACTTTTTGTGTTTTTAAACAGTGATTTTACCTGATTTTACTTGACAATGTGCCTTTCTAGTTGCAATCAGCCCGCCAAATCATGTCATCAGTGCCACTATGCTAATTTTGAAGTATAATCTCTTTTCTTCTTAAAGAAAGTTACCACTAATGACTTCTGTGTCACTGTAACTATGTGCATATGCATACAATTGTATTTATGAGTAAAAGTTGCGTAATTGGCATCTTACTCGAACAAAGGTCACTCGTACAGGTACCCATATACTGCTTATGAAAAACAGCAGCAGGATACATCCTGTAGTCTTTTATCAGGCAAATAATAGGATCAAAATTATTCGATACATTTAAAAACTTATCAAGAATAAAACCAGTAACTTATCACCAGTGGGAAACAAACCTTTAGTGTTAAGTGGTTTATATAGCATATATAATATTACATATCTATGCTTCATATGTATGTTTTAGTACAGGAAAGCAAAACCAAGTAAAAGTTAAATGAAGATCTTATCGTGTCCATCCTTTTCAAACACATCCGAGTTGGTGCTGTACGCTACCTCCGCAGATTAGGCAGATGGCACTGAGGAGCCCTGTTTCTGTATCGTCCATTTCCAAAGGCAGGAGCTGGTTGGCAAAGGTGAACACGAGATCGGTCAGGGGGCCAAAGCCGGCGTTGTGCATCTGTGTTCGGTTTAGGGTAAGGCCATCTGAAAATGTCATGGTGTCTTGTTCTGGGGTGTATCTTGTGCAAATTCTAAGGATCTGGGGAAGGACAAAAGAAAAAAATTAAGAATTAAATACATGAGAGGTTTATTGCATTTTTGTGATGCAGCAAATGACGGTCGCAGCAAAACAATCCAACAATCAAACTTAGGTTTGTTCCATTCTAGTAGCAGAAAAAATTCTCTGGTACAACATAAATATACTTGACTGGCTATAGCTAATTTTTATAACAGAAATTTTCCCCAAGTTATGAAGTCATCAAAACTTCTGTGCAATTCTTACCACTTAAGTCCCCAACACTACCATAACATTCACGTAAACTGCTTTTTAATCATTATGCTACACACACCTACCTATACAATGCTACTGCACTGTTGGTCTGATCCAGCAAGATCACAAAACTATCTCACCTCTGCGAACACACATGTATTTCATTGATTTTGGGGATCAGTTTTGCACAACAGTGCTTCTCTGGATTGCATCTTTGGTAAGGACAATGTGTCTCTGTGGTCTCTTGTGTGAGTGGGTGAAGGAGGCAGAGCAGAGCCTGTGCTGTGGGGTGCCTGCCTTTCTCCTGCGACAGTGGCCAGGAAAACGCCCCTGTGTGAACACAACCCCTGGAGAGCAGTGCCAAGCCCCCCATCTCCCCAGCAGCTGCAGTCACATCCCCATGGAGCACTGCTCCTCTTGCCAGTCCAGGAGCTCGCACCTGAGCCCATTATCAAACCTCCAACCTTCATCAGCAGCCCAAGGAGTTGGCCTGGCTTTTCTTATCTTATGGTTGTTGTTACCTTCATAGGTGGCAACACCAAACCTCCTTGGCAGCCCCGCTAGCTTCTAGACTTCCCAGAGGCTCTAGCGCTTCCCCATCCCACCCTGCACTGACCCCAGACGAAAGAGCGTTAGAGGGGAGGATGGGGAATCGCACCTCTAACCGCACATGGAGGAATGCAAAGTGCATGAATAAAGCACCGAGGATGCTCTGCGTTTGTCACTCTATGCCTCTGGGGTCACCGCAGCAGCAAGTGCGCTGTCACAGTGCAGCCAGAGAGAGGGCGCAGAGCACACCCAGGATGTGTCCCAGGACAGACCCCGTACGGCACAGGGGCAGTTGTACAGCTGCTATGGATCAACACTGCCGTGAGGATCGGATGAAAGAGATGTCCATCATGTTGGCACATTTCTGTTGTATAGATCAATGCTTACTGTTTAAAATAATCAGAGGTTGGAGAAGGCTTATCCCTAAACTAACACAAAATAAAACCTTGCTCAAGTCTAGCTGACAGGGCTTGAGTGTATTAATTTGCCATCCAGCCATCCTACTTTGTTTTAAAGATCCAACAAAAAAGATTTACAGGAATATAAGTGATCGCAGGGAGAATTTTAATTATTCTTATGGCTGCCGAAGCTCTGAGTCAGAGGCCCCAGCACTTGGCTGCTGACCAGCCTGGGCTTGGTTCTCCCACTTTCATCTTTGCCTGGCAACACCGCTCCAAATAAGCAGGGAGGGGAACGAGGAGGACATGGCACGTAAGAGACCTACAGGGAAGCTTTTATTCCTCTTCTTAAATTCCTTGTTAAGAGACTTAATAGGGTGTATTTCTGCAGAAGGCTCTCCAGCTATTTTCTATCTCAGCAAATAATCTTATCTCACACTGTGGGTATATGTTGAAGCAGAGACCCGATGTGGCTTGACAGGCGCGTTTCATCCCTCCCTACCCTTGAATTAGAATCAGCTCTTCAAATTCCTTGAATTGATGACCAAGAGAGGCACAAATACAAATGCACAGCACTCCAATTCTTCACTGACCACAAATTCCCCACTAACACAAGTGATTTTAAAAGGCTGCCGGTAGCTCCGAAGGTTTTGTGTAATAGCTGAAGTGTATGTGAGGATTATTAGCAGAAATTACCATTATAAAGCATGGCACCCTGTCAGAGAGACAGCGTGTTTGCCATATTCTGCGCTGCCAGGAGCCACCGGCAGCTCTCACCCCTAAAGTTTGCTGCTGGTTGTCCTTTTAAATCATTAAAAGGATTGGATAGAAAGGAGAAGAAACATGCAGAGTTTGTTGTTTTCAAGAAAAGCAAGGTTTGAAAACTTTGCATATCTGTATTAAGAAAGCCACGAGCTACTTAGTTCACTTCTTTAAAGGCATGCAGGAGAAACTGGAGCGCAACTATTCCCATCTGAAGCCTGTGACCATCAGGTGCCCAGCTTTTGGAGGAACAAGTCTCTGTACTTAAGAAGTGCTGGTTTTCCCTCAGTTCAGCTGGGGAGAAAGGCAGCCCCTTTTATTCTGGTGCTATTTTAATTTTAAGCTTTATCAATAGGAGTTCCTCTCACCCAGAGCGACTGGGGTGCCCTGGAGCAACCATCCCAAACACCTTAGAGGACAAACGTGTGCCTCCTGCCATGCAAAATTTATCATTAAAACTTAAAGATTCCATGGAATTGAGCTACTTTAGGCAGGAAGCAGGACAGCTTTTTGGAAAAGGCAGACTCCAGGCTTTCGTACCCAATTGCTGCGCCAGCCGTTGACTGGAGGAGCCTGCAGCAGCTTTGCTGGGCGCTGGCACAGCCAAAGCTCAATGAGGTGATTTCTGCAGTGATGGGGTCTCGGGTTTCTCCTGCATTCCTTCAACATTATCCCACAACACGCTGTTATTAAACTCTGAGACAGATCATTGGAAATGTGGGTTGGTTTGTGGGGTTTTTTTAATTTCTGTCCTTCATCAAGGTCTATGAAACACCGTGGATATTGCTGGTTTGCTGCTAAACCTTTCTCGGGCACAATTCCAGTGTCAAAGTGAAGCTGATTTCAAGCTCATATTCACTGAGGAACATATGGGAAATGTCAGCACTTCGATGCAAGAAATCAGGGTATCTTCTTCTGTTTTAGCCTGAACTGCTGTCTAGAAGACATCCTCCTAATGCCCTCAATGTTTTTTAGGTTTTGTAACCAAGCCAAGTATTTTAGTTGTCACTCTGCTCTTAAATGCCACTTGCAGCCATAAATAAGGTTCTTGCCCATGATTAAAGGGCCTGTTGTTTTAAGGAATATTTATATCCTAAAGCGACTGGGGTTCCTATGAGCCAGATACAAAGTACAAAGCAAAAACCCTACAGGTTGTGCAAAACCAAGACCATCCAAAAAGTTGCATTTACAAAATTGTTGTTACAATAGAATTGCTATTCATTTTAAACACACAGAATCACAGAACGTTAGGGATTGGAAGGGACCTCAAAAGATCATCTAGTCCAATCCCCCTGCCGGAGCAGGAACACCTAGATGAGGTTACACAGGAAGGCATCCAGGCAGGTTTTGAATGTCTCCAGAGAAGGAGACTCCACAACCTCTCTGGCAGCCTGTTCCAGTGCTCTGTCACCCTCACTGAGAAGAAGTTTCTTCTCAAATTTAAGTGGAACCTCCTGTGTTCCAGTTTGTGTCCGTTACCCCTTGTCTTATCATTGTTTGTCACCAAGAAGAGCCTGGCTCCATCCTCATGACACTCATCCTTTATATATTTACAAACATTAATGAGGTTTAACTAATTAAACAAATTAGTTAAGGCAAGCTAGGCTATTATTTTAAGAAATCCTGTTGTTGGATGCCTTAGCTGGCTGGGACAGCTTCCCCAGAGGAGAAACCCAAGCAGGTGACTCCGAAACACTGAACAAACCTCCCTGGCACTGCCATACCCCATCAGCCCAGACTGTTCACACGCACAAACGCCTCCCTGGCATCAAGGCGCAGGGTTTTACAACAGAAAGCAAAAGTGACATTATTAAGGATTAGCGTTCAAGGACTTCTCAGGTTTTAATCCATCAGATTTAAGACAGGCTGGACTCTGGCCGCTTTCCACAATCATTTTGCTGGGGATGCTCGACGCCTGCCGAGCCGGCGCAGCAGCAGGCAGAAGCACTCCCTTTTACCAGGGTTGCTGCTTGAATTTTAGCAATCCTTATCCCTGAGACTTTTGGCACCAGCACAGATACAAATTCCACCACCCTCGATTGGCGCCTGCAGCCGCCGTGCAAGGCTTGATGCTATTTCCCTTCCAGAGGTTTTGTTTGCTTGTATATAAAACAATTCTCTGGCCCGTACCCAGCCGAGTTTATGGAGCTCCTGGCACCATTTCCTTTGTCAGCCTCTTTAAGGGGTGGTTCAGCATCCACAGCTGCAGGAACCAAGGGAGCAGAGTCCTCAGCATGGTCTAAAAATGCTCAAGACTCCCCATAGCCCAGAGACAGGCAGTGAATTGGGGTCCTGCTGGTGGGGGGGTGCCCCACACCGATCCTCCTGTGTGGCTGAGGGGGAGGGTGCTTGCGCTCAATGCGCGAAATAAAACATGCAAAATGCTCCTTGTAATTAGGAGAACTGGCTTACTGCAGGAGCCAGGAGGTGGGGGAGGGGGGGGGCAGAATATGCACTATTAAAACACTGCTCCAAGTGCCGAAATTCAGCTTAAATAAAAATACAGAGTTGCACGGCAATTCCGATTATGTGCAGGTGATGCGGGTTTAATGGATATGGGCATTTCGCAGACAGCGCGCACTGCACGTTCCGGTGCTCACGGTAATTATCCCTTTTTCTTTTTAAGCAGCACATAAAATAGTCTCATAAAGCCTGTGTAAATGTCACGCAGGGAAGTTAGGGCTCCTCACCGCAACCACGTCTTATCTGCGCCTGTTTTTGGAAAAGCCTCGGCTCCTCCCTGCTCCAGGTGCCTATGGCACTTGCTGCACCCTGCTCTGTGTCACCTTCTCTGGCTTCGTGAAAATTACAAAATAAAATGAGCAAGTGATCAGGAATGACAGCTCTCAGTAAAGTTTATAACTAGGGCTTGAAGGTTGCCACACAGCCACGAAGTAGAAGTGGTGAATTGTATTAAAGAATCAACCCTTTCTATCCAATTATTAGTTGAAATAAAGTCACCATTTAGCATATTCTTTTTCTGATCTGGCAACCAGGCTTATATTTACTCACTTGGACCAAGTGCCTTTACCTGGGCACTTCAGACAAAACTGCCACCAGAAAGGCCTTCCCAAAATACCTGATATTGCCCAGGCAGAGCTGGTGACACAGGCAGTGAGTGAAGCTGCTGGGGGAACCCTGTGCCTGGGGTAAGCTTCCGCTATCCTCCCCAAAAAAGAGCACCAGGAGCTCGCAGGATCCTGGAGAATTGCAAAATTGGGTATGACCTTTTCCAGCAATGATGGAACCAGGGCATGGCAGCCACAAATAGGAGGTGGCAGCTTAAGGGCTCAAGTTTTAGGGGTAAAGAGTTACGACGCACAGATTCTTGCTATATCCAGACCCCTCCCCACAGTTTTTGGGTAGTTTCTTTATTAACCATTGGTAACTGGTTACACCAGCAAAGCCCAAAGCAGTTCCCACCCCATACCTCTGGCAGAATACACAGGAGGAAATGCCACTGTTTATGGATTACTGTTTGCCTTTTGGTGTACGAGGAACCCAACTGTGTCTGACTGGGACAGAGCTGGCGATGACAGGGCCTGCGATTGGCAATGAACGGCCCTGCCCTGCCTCTCACGATGAGATGGCCACATCCCAGCGAGTGCCTGGGCGAGGGGGACAATGAGAGGTGCATTTCAAGCACAACGGGACAATCTCAACCTTCCCTTTCTTTATAGGCCGGGAAATGCTATCGCTTCCTCTCTCCAACCCCTCAATGTCCTCAAGATGCGATTCTTCAAAACAGCTTTTGACAAAACAAGAGGAAAAGGTCACAGCAGTGAATGCCCTCCTCAATATGACCCTGTTTCTAAACTCACTTTTAGAAAATTCCAACTTCAACTTCAAATTCCCCAGTTTAAACTCCTGGGTCATGACAAAAAAAAAAATATATCTACAGTAGCCATCCTACAACGGGCTTCTTGGCCACGCTTGGCTCAGTGAAGACCCTAAGGTTTGTGCTCAGAAGAAAACATTTAAAATATGTTTAAATCACATTGAAAATACCATTTTACTGAAAGTTACTGCCATAGCCAAGAGTAAGAAGCATATTTGCCACTAAAAGCCTGCAGACCTCTGGGGCCTTGCTGAAGAAATGCTGAGATCCCAGAGGGCTCCTCTGAAGGTCAGCATGACAGCAGCAGCCGGAGACAAGGGGAGGGGAGGCAGCACGCCTCGACACAGGGGCAAGGTCTGGAGAAAATCTCCAAGCCCACCTGTACAGTTGCCTGCTGCAGCTTGTGTGCTTGCCTATTTACAATTAAATGACTTTTAGCTAAAATTCTGTACAGAGCCCGTTATGAGTCCACTCTCATGGGTGCCTGCAGCACTGGTGAAAGCAGGGGGTGCTGCATGCCTGAGGCTTGTGCCTCTGGGCTCTAGGTGCACCAGGTTCCCCTCTGCAACCTCCAAAAACCTCACTCTGAAGAGCTGTCTTCTTCCTCAAATCACTGCATCACCACAGCACGCTCCTAAAACATTGTACAGCGGACTCTCTTTCTAGGTAGCCTTTATGCAGAGCATTATCTTTGGGTGGAAGGAAAGAGGATCAGATCTCTCCTCAGTGTTAACAATACGGAAATTGTTCCACAGTTGGACATATTTCAAGTTAGCTCCACGCTATCAAAATGTGCCCTTCTTGCAACTACACCGAAATCCACAAAATACAAGGATTTATTTTGAAAAGTATGCTAGCCCCATATCCCACGCGCCTGTAGACGTGCTAGAGTCCACTCGAGACCATACCAGACTACTTGATAAGTTCAATTTTGCAACCATAAGGCCGGGGCAGTATTTGACGCCCTCCACCCGTTGATTAGAGTAAAAAGAACAACAGACATACAAGAGTAGTGTAACAATGATGTTAAAAATACATACCAGTATATCCAGGCAGGCTGCTTTAAGTAGAGTTATCTGGTCTGCAATGGTCAAACTTGTAAAGCCTGGCAATCGCTTTGCAAATTCCACTATTTTAATAATGCACTTTGTTGCAAGTTCACTGAATTTGTCCCAAAGCCCAAGGTCCAGTCGAACCCGATGATCCGCGCTGGAGTTCTGGAAAGACAGACAGACAGACAGCAGGCACCATAAATCAACAACGACTCTTTCAGTAAATGGCTTTCAAGGGAAAGGAACAACAACCATGCTTTTCCTTCCAGAAGTACTTTCTATTAACATTCCAGGCATTTTCTGCAGCTTGCTGTTGGGATGATGCTGGTTTGAAACTTGGATTAATCGCCTGAAAATTCCTCGGATGTTTCCCCGTTACTTACAATTGCAGAGGCCATCTGTACAAGGCATACGAATGCACTTAAACATTTCCAAATGCCACTGTCATTATTCTTCCTTGTCATTATATAATAAGAGCATTGAGAGAGAGAATTTACAGTGGTACCCCCGAAAATATAAATGAACACTGGAACAAGAAGATCGGGCCCTCATCTGGAAAAAGCAGCACGATATTTGGAACATAGTTTCACATACTTAAGGTCTTAGCAAATTAGTTCTACTTAATTTATCTGCTCTGTGGCTCTGCAAAAGTTTTACAGCTTTCTCAAGATAAAGACTCCCATGAATTAAAGAGCATTTCTTTACACAATGCTAGGAAAAACACCACGTGAATGCTATATGCTCATTTGATGAGGCTACCTACCTATATGCTACTGTTTCAAGTGTTACCAAGGCATCCCAGCTGTGCCTTCCAGTGGCTGTCTCCATATATTCACGGTATCTTAATCCAAAGTCTGTCATTTTCTAGGATGCACAGCCACGTCTGTGTTAAGTTTGTGATTAAAGTTTGTGCTGGCCTTGAATTTAGAAAAGGTGCTAAGCTGCAACCAAGGAAACCCAAGGCAGAGTTTCTCCCTTCCACGTCTCATCTGAGCTTGTTGACTAACCCAGAAAGAGAAAGGTATCTCCAAAAAACAAGGCTCACCCACTCCAGGCAGGTACTTAAAGCAGAACGAGCAGCTGACTTGAAGTTAAAATGTTAAATTAACTTTAAAATTAGAGTTAAGTGTGAGGAGTCTCAAACCAAAAGTCTCACAGACACAGCAGATAAATCACTATGGAAAAGCATTCGGTTTACACCGACCACACTTTCTTGGAGGAAACCTCTCCAGTGACCCTGCCACCGTCGCTGCTGATGGGAAGGACGTCCACCTCCCTGGGAACCTTTGAAGCCATCGGCTTGCTTCGGTTCACAGGGAGGACACAGGGCCCGAAGAGGTCACCGAGGGGACGTGGGGTGAGCACAGCGTGGCCGTGATGCTCTGTCACCCCCTCCCGGGGCTGCCTTCCCAAACGCCACCACCACTGTCAGTCACGAAGGGGAAAGTCCTGATGGGTCCCAAGGGCACCGCCAGCCTGACATTGACCTTCGCTTGCAACAGGGCAGAGATCTGAGACGGTCACAATTGTGTTAGGCCCTTATTGTAAAAAATAAATGC